AGGAAGACCAAACATTGTGAAAATTTCAATACTACCCAAAACAATCTATACATTCAATGCAATCCCAATCTAGATGCTATCAACATTCTTTAAGGATATGGAAAAACCAATCAATAACTTTATATGGAAAGGAAAGAGACCTCAGATAAGCAAAGCATTATTGAAGAAGAACTAAGTAGGAGGTTTCACACTCCCAGATCTTAAAACTTACTATACAGCCACAGTAGTCAAAACTGCCTGGCACTGGTACAATGACAGACACATAAACCAATGGAATAGAATTGAGAACCCAGAAGTAGATCCATTGACCTAAAGTCAGCTGAACTTTGAGAAAGGGTTGAAATCCATTAAGTGGGGAAGAGATTGTCTCTTTAACAAATGGTAAAGGCAAAACTAGATATTCATTTGCAGAAAAATGAAACAAGATTTGTACCTCACACCATACACAAAAACTAATTCCAGATGTATCAAAGACTTAAGTGTGAAACATAAAACTATACAGTTCCTCAAGAAAAAACTAGGGGCAAATTTAGAGGCCCTAATATGCCTGCTAACCAGACGGCTGGCGGTTCAAACCCACCAGCCACTCCTCGGAAGGAAGGTTGGGCAATCCTACTTCCTTAGTGATACTGCCTCGGAAACCCAAAGAGGGGTCACCATGAGTCAGGGCCGACTCAACGGCACATAACAACAACAACAACAATATATGGCATAAATAAACTATCAAGCATAACCCAAAATGCACAAACAGCAGAAGATCACCTAGATGAATGGGACGTTCTGAAAATTAAATTTTCATGTGCTTTCAAAGACTTCTCCAACAAAGTCAAAAGAGAACCTACAGATTGGGAAAAAAAATATTCAGAAATGACATATCTGACAAGGGACTTATCTCTAGAATTTATAGAGAACTCTAATACCTCAACAACAAAAGAGACAAATAATCCAATTAAAAAATGGGCAGAAGACACAAATAGACACTTTACTAAAGAGGACATTCAGGCAGCCAGCAAACTCATGAAGACATGTTCACAATCATTAGCCATTAGAGAGATGCAAATCAAAACAATGAGATACCATCCTGCCCTAGCACTATTAGCAAAGTTCAACAAGGCAGAAAATAACAAATGCTGGTGAGGATGAGGAGAGATTGGGGTTCTCATACACTGCGAGTGGGACTGTCAAATGATGCAATTACCGTAGAAAGCAGTATGGCAATTCCTTAAAAACCTGGAATTAGAAATACCATTTGGCCCAGCCATTCCATTACTAGGTATATAGCCTAAAGAAGTGAGAGCCAGGGCAAGAACAGATATACGCTCAGCCATGTTCAACACAGTACTATTTACAATAGCCATAACATGGAAACCTAGGTGCCTATCAACAGAAGAATGGATAACCAAACTATGATACATACATAAAATGGAATTCTGTGCAACCCTGAAGAATAATGCAGAATTGGCAAAACACTGCATAATGTGGACGAACTTGGAGGACATTATGCTGAGTGAAATAAGTCAATCACAGAAGGGCAAATAATACATTAGTCCATTATTGTAAAAAGTCAAGGAAAGGTTTATCTATGGAAGGAATTTTCTCTGTTGGTTACCAGGGCTGGGAGGGGATGGGAGGGAACACTGTTAGATAAGTGGTGTTGTTGTTGTTATGTGCCATTGAGTTGGATCCGACTCATAGCAACCCCTCCTTAGGTTGCCGAGGCAGTATCACTATGGAAGTAGATTGCCCAACCTTCCTTCCGAGGAGTGGATGGTGCATTTGAACCACCAGCCTTCTGGTTAGCAGTCAAGTGCCTTAGGCACTATGCTACCAGAGCTCCCGTTAGATAGGTAGAGACAAGTATTGATTTGGATGAAAAGAAGGGCAATGTACCAAATGTGAGTGATTAACACAGTGGCACTGAGAAAGAGGAAGACACAGAGCATGCATGGGAGGCATAGACAACAAAGATGAACCCTTTTGCACATAGAGTACTGCATTGTCAGTGAAAGCAAACATTGATATATAGGTGGATAGATGGGTGGACATGCTGAACTATTAGGTATGTCTATGCATGGGAGCTCTGGTGGCATAGGACCTAAGGCATCTGACTGCTAACCAGAAGGCTGGTGGTTCAAACCCACCAGCCACTCCTTGGAATGAAGATTGGGCAATCTATTTCCATAGTGATACTGCCTCGGAAACCCAAGGATGGGTCACTATGAGTCAGATCCGACTCGACAGCAGTGAGTTTTGAGTTATGCAGGGGGAAGTGTGTCCAAGACCACATACAGTGTGGGCAGACAGTGTTTCTACAAGTGTATTTGTATGTTCTGTAAGAATTCCCAGAGATACAGTAGAGCTGACAAGGGGCAAGGTTGTGGTCAGTTCTTGGCTACAGCCAGCTACCCAAAGGGAGTGAGTAGTTGAACCTGTAGGCTCAGGACCATAGTCACAGGGGACATCTAGCTCAGTTAGCATAGCATACAACCCAAAACATTGTTCCACATCCTACTTCGGTGAGTAGCAACTGAGATCTTAAAAGCTTGCAAGTGGCATCTAGATGCAATCATGGGTCTTTGTTCATCCAGAGCAAAGAAGAATGAAGACAACCAAAGACACATGGAAACAATTAGTCCAAGCAACTGGTACACCATGCAATCCTCAGCCTATATGACTATGAGACCAAAAGAACTAGATGGTGCCTGGCTACCACTGTCAACCACTCAGAGGGGGTTCTCTGTTGGAGATCCTGGATAGAGTAGGAGAACAATGTGGAACAAAACTCAAAATCATTAAAAAAAAAAAAAGGACCAGGTTTGCTGGTCCAATAGAGCCTGATGGCTGCATTTCTTCCAGGACAGCTTTGTTACTTCTTCTGGTAGTCCATGGCACTTTCAGTATTCTTTGCCAACACCACAACTCAAAAGCATCAACTCTTCTTCAGTCTTCCTTATTCATTGTCCAACTTTCACAGGCATATGAAGCAACTGAAAACTCCACTGCTTGTGTTAGGCACACCTAAGGCTTCAGAGACATCTTTGCTCTTCAGCACTTTAGCAATACGTTGTCTGATTTCTTCACTGCTGCTTCCATTGGTGTTGATTGTGGAACCAAGTAATAAATTTTTGACAACTTCAATCTTCTATTTATCGTGATGCTGCTTAGTGGTCCAGTTGTGAGGATTTTCATTTTATGTTGAGGTGTAATCCATACTGCAGATTGTAGTCTTTAATCTTCACCACTAAGCATTTCAAGTCATCTTCAATTTCAGCAAGCAAGGTTCTGTCATCTGCATATTGCAGGTTGTTAATGACTCTTCCTGCAATCCTGATGCACATTATTCTTCATATAGTCCAGCGTCAGGGATTATTTGCTCAGCATACAGACTGAATAACTATGGTGAAATGATACAATCCTGACACATTCCCTTCCTGATTTTAAACCATGCAGTATCCTATTCTTCCATTTGAACAACAGCCTCCAGGTCTATGTACAGGTTCCTCATGAGTATAATTAAGTGTTCTGGAATCACCACATTCTTCTCAGTGTTATCCATAATTTGTTATGCCTTACATAGTCAATAAAACACAAGTAAACATTTTTCTGGTATTCTTTGCTTTGAGCCAAGATCCATCTGACATCACCAATGATATCCCTCATTCCATATACACTTCTGAATCCAGCTTGCATTTCTGGAAGTTCCCTGTCAATATACTGCTGCAACCATTTTTGAATTATCTTCAGCAAAATTTTATTTGCATGTGATATTAATGATATTGTTTAATAATTTCCACATTTTGTGGGATTACCTTTCTTTGGAATGGGTAAAAATATGGATCTATTCCAGTCAGTTGGCCAGGTAGCTGTCTTCCAAATTTCTTGGCATAGACGAGTAAGAACTTCCAGTGCAGCATTCGTTTGTTGAAATATCTCAATGGGAATCCCATCAATTCCTGGAGCCTCATTTTTTGCCAATTCCTTCGATGCAGCTTCGACTTCTTTCAATACCATTGGTTCTTGATCTCTTGAAATGGATGAACACAGACCAATTCTTTTTGGTACAGTGACTCTCTATATTCCTTCCACCTTCTTTTGACTTTTCCTGCATCACTCAATATTTTGCCCATAGAAACTTTCATCTGTCAGTTTGTTGTACTGTGGTAGCTTGCATGTTGCTGTGAGGCTGGAGGCTATGCCACTGGTATTTCAAATACCAGCAGGGTCACCCATGGTGGGCAGGTTTTAGTGGAGCTTCCAGACTAAGACAGACTTGGAAGAAGAAAGGGGTCATCCACTTCTCAAAGAAATGGCCAGTGAAAACCTTATGAATAGCAGTGAAACACTGTCTGACATATTACTGGAAAACTCTATGAATAGCCCTGAAAATTTGTCCAATATAGTGCTAGAAGATGAGACCCTCAGGTCAGAAGGCACTCAAAATATGAGTGTGGAAGAGCTACCTACTCAAAGTACAGTCAACCTTAATGATGTGGATGCTTTCGGGACCTTCATTTGCTGATGTGTCATGATTCAAAATGGAAAGAAACAGCTGCGAACATCCATTATCGGAACATGGAATGTACAAAGTGTGAATCTAGGAAAACTGGAAGTTGTCAAAAATGAAATGGAACGAATAAAGATAAATATCCTAGCCATTAGTGACCTGAAATGGACTGGTTTTGGCCATTTGGAATCAGATAATCATATGATTTGAGAAGTGGAGGCAGTATTTCAATGAATGGGATATCAGACTCTGAGTGCTAGGCATGACTTGGATTTTAACTCTAGCTCTGCCACCTAACATTTCAGTGAAACTGGACAAGTAACTTCTGTAAACCTTAGTTTTTCATTCTAACACCTATGCAAAGCTGAGACACAAAGCACCTGTTCATGATCAGAGTAAGGATTATGATGATGTCAAGTTGACCTACCCTTCTGCCACCTACCACTTCATAAGCCTATCCATAGTTTACCAGAATATTTTACAAAAAAATTCTTACCTGCTACTCTAGTAGGAAATGCTACAAGGCGATCTAGTGGGGTTATCCACTTAGTCGGTACCACAGCCACAGGAACTGAGTAATACTTCCAAATAAGTGAGATCATCAGTGCAGCCTAGAGAGAAAGACACTTCTGGTAAGCAAAAATCCTGCCAGTCACGTAACAGGTAATTATAGAAAGATGGAGAAACATTAAAACAAATTACATGAAACAAATTGTGTATGAAATGCCATATGGAAAATGAATTTGCCTTGGAAACTTTCACCAAAATCCCAATAAAAATTTTTGAAAAAAAGAAATTACAGAAACTAGATTGATGACCTCAAACTCCATCAATCCACCTTAAATGCCAACAGACATATTTGCATGACCACTAATTTTGAAACTTTGAAACACAGTGTCTAATTAAAGACTAATTCCCCAGGATGTCTAGAACACCCTGCTCAACCGGGAGGGAACTGGCATTTTAATGATTTTACGATGAATAATGTTGTTGCTATATGCTGTCGAGTCAGACTCGACTCATAGCAACCCCTCGTTGGGTTTCCGAGGCAGTATCACTACAGAAGTAGATTGCCCCATCTTCTTTCCGAGGAGTGGCTGGTGGGTTTGAACTGCCAGACTTCTGGTTAGCAGTCAAATGCCTTAGCCACTATGCTACCAGAGCTCCCAGGATGAATAATATATACATGCTATTTAAATTAGCTAACAAATAAAGCACCTATAACCCAGGTGTTCCTTTTCATTGAGTTTGTCCTCTGAGTAGCCAGACTATGCTAAGTACACCTTAAGAGCACAGAAAGTTCTATTATGCCTCTATCTAACATCCTTGAAAACAGTTAAATCTCTCATCCACATATGAATATTAGTTGGTGTAAGTGTGCCCTCTACAGTTCAAATGGGAGGGAGAGAACCTAATGCTTTCTCTTCCTCCTTTACCCAAATTCTTTCAGTTGTCTTCAGTCCCTTGCAGCTTTGAATATACCTCTCAAATTAGTAGACCTAAAGAAGGCATCTGGCCCAATTCCTGTGTCTCACTGAAATCTCTTATCAAAGTGCCAGTGCCTCAGATCCAGTTTCTTAAATATACCTAAACAACCTGGGCTTTTTGGAGGGGTTGTGTGCTGAGAATCAATGGTATTAGATTTTAATGGGAATAAAAGAGTTCCCTCTCTAAATGGTAGGTAGTCATTTACATGCTTGCTGTTTAAGCATACCGGATACCAAGTAATGGTCGAAATGATCGGCCATCTGGAAAACCCAATGTTGAAATACACTTTTCTCACTTCCTGCCCTAAAACAGCACTGGAATGAAGGCACTATGAAAGATCTCCTGAGAAATCACTTCAAAATTCTTTTGCCAAAAAAAATTCCCAATCTAACAGTTCTCATTAAAAGAAAACTTTCATTCTTTTTTTTTTTTTTTTAATTTATTGTGATTTGGGTGAAGATTTACAGAGCAAATTTACTTTCCATACAGCAGTTCACATATACTTTGTTGCATGTCATTGACCACAGTTTACCACAATGCAACAGCTCCCCTCCCACTTCCTCCCCACAGTTACCTCTTCCCAGTGTCCATCCCTCCATACTCTCCTGACCCCTGAGCTGTCTCCCTGTGCATAAGCAGCCCTTCCTTCTCCCA